TCCCGATCTCGGTGTTCCTAGTTAAAACAGTTTGGTCAGGACAGTTTTCAAAACAATGGATTTTGCGACCACTAGAGCTTGTATGTAATATAGCAGGAAACAAGTGTTTGTTTCAAGGGCAACGCAGTTGGTAACAATATGTACAAGTTATACATACCTTCCACCGGAGGCTATAGTCATCTGCAGGGATGGGAAATGCATAAGTATTACGTAGCAGCTACACAATTCTCCCATTTGCCATAGGTTGAACTAAAGTCACCTCCTCCAAATTTCTGTACAAACTGGCGAAATACTTCACGAGCACAAACATCCCAAGTTTTGGCCATTTCTTTTAGTGAAATGGGCTGTGAATATTTCCGCAGCAATAAACTGAAATTTGACATTGCTTTTGTCCACAGAACTTTCACTTCTTCAGCTTCACTGCAGAATTGATACGCACCATATCAGTTATCATAGTCATTTTTATTATATACACGGCATTGTGAATTATTAAATAAATAATAAAATAGAAATATGTAATTTTATTTCTCACCTACAACCAGGGGGCAATCTTTCCAGTACTACAGGAGAAGAATTAGGATAATCAGCAGTCACAAGCAATTCCACAATCAGGTTGGAAAACTACAAGCCAAAAAGAGCACCCCTGAGTAGATTTTTGGTAATGAGTTCTATAGTAAGAAATCCATAAAGAGTGTGTTACCATTTGCGTTGAAGCATTCAGCATTTTAATATTCCCATTGCATCGAACAGCGTTATATAAGCATCTAATGACTGTTCCATCAGCAGATCCTGCCCAGGAAAAATCTTTCATGTCTACCACATCTACCACTGTTTCAATAAGCTTGTGGTTGATTTCTCTGATTTCTTCCAGTAGCAGATCATTAGACTGTATAAATGCAATAAAAGATGGATAAGAAGAAACCAAAAGGAGATGGGCATCTAATGAAGAGAAGAAATGAAAGAATTTCTTCTCTTGAGGGAGTGTGAGGAGAAACATATTCCTGAATTTTTGCAAAATACCTCTTCTTTTAGTTTCTTTATCCTAAATGTTGCATTAAATTCCACTTCAGATATCTGGCCACCTTCAAAATTAGCACCTCTTGTAAAAGCTGATGTCATATCATCTGCAGATATGGCGCTCAGTGGCCGCTTAATCCTTGTCTTCACGCATGGAAGGTCAAAGTTCCCATGTTCACAAGATCTAGTATCATCTGCCAAGTCCTGGCCAACGTCCCACCTCGATTCACCTTGAAGAAGGCTTCCAGATTTCCTGTCGATTATCCAGGTGGCTGAGTTGATATCCCGTACAGCAGCATGTAATGCTTTTTGTGACATTGTATTGACCTTCAACATGCAAGTGAATCAAATGCAATATGAAATACAAAGAAGTCTAACACCACGTACAGTAAAAAACTATATCGGTCATGGATAATTTTGACGATTATAATTTAACAGTGAACCTTTCTAGCATCAAATGGCTTAACATATCATGATAATGGTAGAGCTATATAACATCTATGCACGACAAGAATCAAAATCTCCTCAAAGTTCCTAAAAGTAAATGATTTATGTAAGCTGGATTATAGTCATTTGACATTTTCTGTTGTTTATCCACATTACAAATGTAGTTGACCTACCCCCTCTCTGCGTCATGTTTATCCCCTCTCTTTTCTGATCTTTCTAGTTATCCTACACAAACCGAATTGGACTCTAAAATCCTAAACCACAGCAGTTAAAAACAATATTATCAACCTTTATTTTCTCCCCATTCTGGAAATATCAAAGCAATAATTGCATAATGACAAAAATAACTAACATGAGTGATAATAAGCAATTCAATATATCCACATTTGCCGGCACAGACATTAATGGAAGTGAAAGTATTCAGAGAGAAATTTTAGGGGAAGAATATTCAACCAACCACTTCAACCAACCGCTGCACTGGGTCGGCTTGACCACGTGACTGTTGATAGTCAAGTGGACATGTAGACTCTGTGAGCAAAGGAGACTTCGGATACTCCAGTGTAACAGAGACAGGGACTTGACTTTCGCTTATGCCTTGTGATTGGAGCAAGGGTGGTTCAATAGGTGCCTGTGTAACTTTGTTCCTCTCTTCAACGGATAATGGACTAAAGCGTATAGGAATCTTCTCTTGATCTGTTGGCACAGAAGATGGAGTTGCTGGAGTAAGAGGAGAAGGAACAGCAGATGGAGAGGCAGTAGATAGCAATGGTATTGTAGATCTGGAAAGTTTTGATGACAAATCCTTCATCTCAATCTGTGTAGAGGAGTGTTGAGAGCTTTGAGGAGAGGCAACCCTCGGCTGCAGCATTGACCAAGGATACTGTTCTAAATGTTGGCCCAATGAGTGATGCTTTCCTAGCATTCTTTGATTCAATTCCGCAAATTGAGCCATCTTCGCATCCTCATTCATTTTTTGTACCATCTGCTGCTTGTTCCTCTCAGTCAGCATCTGTTGCATAGGTTGCTTCAGCTTCTTCTGCATTGGTAAATGTTGGTCCTGTCGATTGTTATACTGAGATACAGTGATTATGGGATTTTGAGAAAGGGGCCTCATGGTAAAATCTAAATTATTGAAGATGTTCCCAGGCAAGTTGCGCATCTGTTGAGTGCTCAAAGTAGTATTGTGCTGAGAAATTCCTACAGAAGAAGGGGGCAACAAGCCCGAAGCTTCATGCTCAAAGCCAATTTGAGAACCCTTATGAGGTAATGACATTCCTTGTTGTGCCTGACTAGGCGAATACTGTTGCCTAGATTTCATCAGACTATGTTGAAAAGAGTTCAATAATGGCGAAGGATCTGACCTTTGCATCCCCGTTGAAGAGCCAACCTGAAACTGGCTTGTACAGCTTCCTTGTAAGTTTAAGTTACCCTGCTGCATGAGTAACTGAGGTACACTCGTAGGTGCATTATTATGGTATGGGTTCACTTGATTGAACTGTAAAATGTTCCCTTTTTGCAGCAGAGATGAGGTTTTTGAAGGATTGCCAGATGCCTTTAGATGTTGATGGTGCTGCAAAGGAACAGGATTCTTGGTCCTAATCCGTTTGAGGTACAATACAATTTCTTTTATAAATTGGTAAACAATCTCTATGCGATGTTGCATAAGTTCAGTTTTTGGCATCTGTAGAAATTTTATTATCTTTAGATATAAAAATTGAATATTTTCAGATCTTGCTGCTGACTCTGCACTGGTTGCCTGCATCAGAGATTCAATAATCTAATATCAGCAGCAACCATTATGAAATGGTCCAGAAAAAAGCCAAATTAGTTGAGGCTGAATGAATAAAAATTATAAATGAGGTGACAAGATTTATAAGAATCTATAAAGCTGATACCTGACGGAATGATTCTGATGCTCTCTGGTACAGTGTAAATACCTCAGAAAAATAAATACTGTTCATCAACTGAATCTGCAGAAAGCGTTACAGATATTTATAAAGTTAGTGAACAAGAGCAAGTACAAGTTCAAACCACGCTTCCTAAGAAAAAAATGGAATCAGCGGTGTGAGGATTTGAATAAAGTAATCTGCAATTTTTCAAATTATTAAAGACCATTTACAGGAAAGAGAATGCAATTAATGAAACATCTCGCAAAATATTGATGATGGATTTGGGAAGGGGGAAGATAGAGAAAGAGAGTCAATACTTGCTAGGGTGAGAGGGGGGGGGGGATGCTCAAAAGAAAATAGAGAGAAAGCTTTATACTGATTACAAATGTGTTGGAAGAGACCATCAGGATTAAACCGACAGGAAATTCTAATATGAGCTTCCATGAAAAGGATCACACATTATCTGGTCATTCTGGCTCATGCGCCACTTGCAATTTGAATGGAGAAAAATAGAAAGTCAAAAGAACCTTGAAAAATATTGAATTTTTATGTGTTTGATTCAAGTATAGCTGATATTCAAATCAACAGGAACAAACAGAAAATTCCTAGCTCGTTTTCACTGTTTTCTGCTGTAAATGATATCCAATTCTTAGCTCCTGTCTTTTTATATATAACCGTTTGAAGATTGTGTATTTTGATTCGCAACAATCTAAAGTGAAGGGCAAAAACAGCTCAGCCACATTGCCACACTTTTCATTTCTATCAAGAAATGTTAAAGAATACAGACTTTTCGCTTCTCTACATCGAGTGGTAAAATTTACTCAGATTGTTACAAGAACTAGTGATTATTATATAGGACTAAACTATTTTCTAAATTCTTCCATCCTCAGGAGGAGAGAGGATAACTATTCACATAAAATACTGAACGAAAAAAGATCGACATGGCAATCCTCATAATAACAAGGCTAGAGAGATGCATCAGATGGTGAGGAAGATGAAAAAATAGACGTTCTTTATAGAAAGTTGATTTCAATGGTTAGAAAGTTACCCGCTTGAAGACTGGATCAACCCAATCAGAGGAATTTTTCAACTTGAATTGGGAGGTGGATTCTATTACTGTTTTAAAAAAAGAATATTGCAAACATTAGACAGATCCATTTTAAAGAAAAAGCTATGAAGTGTATAGCTTTTTACTCACACATCATTCAATATTAACTGCCAAAATATTGTTAAAAGAAAGGAACTAGATTGGGAAATATTAAAACACAAACCCAAAAAGAAGTTCAGTTGTTATGTAACTGTGCTCATGACCAAATTAAACTAATTTATTCTAAGTAGAGTTGACAAGCAACATATGTCAAAGAATCTTGTGGATTTTCAAAATCATGAGACTGATCATTATAATTTATTTGCAGGTGAAAAATAAATTTCCGTAATATATTTCCTACTTATGATTCAAATTTCTTTAAGAGATAATAAATTCACATGCAACCCACATTCGTTGTCATAGATAACCATTGATAAGATTTGAACGAACAATTGCTCTCCCGACAGTGTGTTTGAAAAGGAGGAAACAAAAACAAAAACAAAGCAAAACGAACTTAACTTCATGGCTCTTCTGTTTTCTTTGTTAATGTAACTTGCTATTCATTTAGAAGTTTTCAATGTACCTTGCAAAAGCCCAAGAAATGCAGTTTGTAATTGTTCTACCGGCTTCTGCTGATCAACTAGCATAGGATTTGGTGGTACACCATTAGTCCCTGCATCACTCAGTGTTTCCAATGAGTGCCACATCTGCATAGGTTTAGATATCTGCTGCAAACTTTTCTCTGATGTCATTTGACCTTGATGCTTAAGGACATTGAATTGTTCATGATGCTTCATTGTTGAAGAATCTAAATGATATCCATTCTTTTGCTGTTGTTTCTGCAAAACAAAACCAGTATTCTGTTTCTGCTGGAGAAATGATAAATTACGTAACCGTGTTAAATTCTAAATCAAACTGGACTGAGGGGAGACACAAGATTCATTTGTCCCAGTCATACATAGAATGACTCCACCCCACTGATGATGCAGAAGAAGAGGTACCTGTACAGGCTGCTGCTGTTGATAGATATTGAATTGTGCAGACAACGGCTGAATATTTGGTCTCTGTGCATTCTTATTATTCAATTGGTCCTGCAACTGCTGGTGCTGGTGTGATTGCGAGATAATATTACATGAAGTCTGAGTCTGAGAAAATTCTGTATATATGCTGGGAAAAGTACTTCGTTGCAGACTATGTGCTAGTGAATTAATTGATTTATCTGTACATAAAGGCAATTAAAGTTAAATTCATTTAAGGTTTTATTTGATTGCGCAACTTACCTCAAAGCAGCAACAATGCTTTGGTGTTTCAACTGTAAATATAAAGGTTAAAAAAAAAGAAAAAAAAGAAGAAGAAGCTATATTAAGATGTGAAACTCGAAAATGATTCTATAACTGAAGAACAGGGCTGTTACATAATAGGACTTTGTTTTATTTTCATGGAAATTCACATTATAAACAATATATTGCAAAAGATATTCTGCACTTTCCAAACTGTTTTGCATGAAGGGCTATCCTCTGTATCATGAAGAAATTCTATCCATCATATGATTTGAGAATGTTTAATCACAAGTTGTTATGGCAGAACCAGGTTCTTCTATAAAATCTCCTGTTTCATGGCTTCACTAATGAAGGAACCAACCAAATTGTGACCTGGAGAAACTTTAGGAAAAAAATAATATGAATACAAGATGATTAGCACGCCATATTGAATGAAAGTTAATACCCTGTTGGAATCGCTATTATGAACCAAAGACTATTTTTGTAGATCAAATGTATTCTTATTACTTCGGTAAACTGTACCACCATAGAAAGTTAAGCAGAAAAGTATTTATAACATGCTCACATATCAGTTTCTTAATGATATTCTCTTTTGTGTTTGTACAATTGGCTACAAAATTTCTTAAAAATTTGTTTGTTCTTGTTGATTGTAATGTTCCCCTTCACATTTATATCTCTATCCTTCTTTCATTGACACCATAGAAGTTAAAGAGAAGTGCATTCTTAATGGACTCAAATGATCTATTACTACTCTTTATAGTATGTTGAATACTCCGAGAGAAATTTTGGCATCTATACCAGTGCAGCTGTTAAGAGTTTTAGGTTGGCGACACGGACTTTACAATAAAAAGTATAAAAATAGGCTCTTCATTATTTTATACATAAAAAACTCATCACCAAAGCTAAACAGTATTGTTTTGTTCAGTGCCAATTATTTAAGGAAGTGAAATTTCATTCATGCCTATAGTATAATTTAAATCCCTGGCAAGACTGGGACCAAAGTGAAGATCATAATGTGCAGGATTATGATTATCTCCATAAGAAACACTTCATTATTTATCTTCATCGGCCATAGCTTTTAGTGTTACCTGAAGCAGAGTCCATAGGCTTCCAGTTCTGGCTGACGGGGGGCACAATATCTGACTGCCAAAAGGAAATGTAAACCAAGATATGAACAATGCTAAAAATGTTGAAAAGTTGTGGTAATTAAAAACATAAAAATGAAGCAGTTATAAAGGGAGAATTTTGCCTTCCTATGCCATGTACAAAGTTCAGTGATGCATGGTACTCCAATTATTATTCAAATTGGAATGAAAAACATAGCCAATGATCAAATACGTAGAGAAAATTATGAAAAAAATTTCTTTGATAAGAAAATAAGACTAAAAAAAGTTTGATAATACCGCTAAATATCACTTCATCACACAAAGGATCACAAGTTTGACATTTCATGGTCATAAAAGTTTTACTTAAACAGAAGTTTTGTGATTCAGATATCACTCTCATCTATAATTATTACGCAACATATAAAAGATTACCTCGACTTCAATTAAGAAAGAAAATATGAAATTTCCGAAGGAGCTTAATGAAGTACATAATTTCATATGCAAAATTTTCTTTTACCATGTCTTCTCCCATCAAATTACATCACAAGGCATAACTGTATTCCTCATGTATCCCCTTTGTAATGAAGTTCCTTCCATTCACTAATCCCCAAATACTGTCCACTAAAAAAGTGAATATGTCTTTTTCTCACATCATTTTGAAGATATAATATATACTCTTTATTCAAACAACATTTACCCTGTAAGTATTTCATAATGTCAAGGTTATGTTAAAATATCTTTGGAGGATCTTAATGGTAGCTTAATATTTTATGAACGTCCTGCACTTGTCTAGAAATTCAAGACACTTTTACCAAATCAAGGTGTCCTAAAATATTTTATGCACAATTCTGCAAAAAAGATAATCTGATGTGACAACCAGCAACCTGGAAACTTTTAGAAGATTTCTTATTGCATGAAGTGTGGACATTCTAAAGTACAGAGCTCTTTCCTTTCCAGCTTCTGAAGTCGTATTTCATCAAGTTAATTAGAAGGACAAAAACTACAAACTAAGGATTCTTTCCAATAAATTTGGGGTCGCCTACATGAATCCTTATTAAGACAGATTGCATCATAGTTTTCAAACCGGAAATGTCTCTAAGTACTTTGTACGGGCAAAGGGAGCAGACATCTCTCCCCATCCAAAATACTACCGTCTTCTGAAATATATGGGTGTGCTTATTATCCTGTAAAAACGTCCATAATAGTTGTACCTTCTCTGTGGTTAAAATCAGCTAATTAATAATTTAAAATTTGCTTGATGCTTGCTTATGATCCTCCTTGATAGTTTTACCTTCTCCATAGTTAAAAACAACTAATTCATAGTTCAAAAATTTCCCTAATACTTGGGCCCTATCTAGTTGAAAACACATTCCTCAGTGACCGTAGGTGGAAAAGATCAATTTCACTCATATCCTTTTTCATGAGAGTTCATCACATAAATTGATGATAAGAAAATTTATATTGCATCTACACCAAAAGAACCTTAAATAAATACATTAGAAGACAGCAAGGGCAATGCTATGCACTGACTGAGAACACCAAAATAACTAAAGAACTGATAGAGAAAACGAGGCACCTGGGTTTCAGCAACTAGATACTTCTCCAAGTTCACTGACTTATTCTCTTGATTTAGATTATTTACATTAGATGATGACCCACGCACCCCCTCTTTCTCCATTCTGCACATGATAATGAGATGTTCTAAGTCCTTATCATTATATTCCATCCATCAGCTCAAACAGAACAAACCAAAATATCAAAAAGGAAAGAGAAAAAAATCAGAATTCAAGATCTTCACGTTTAGATGAGATACTAAGATCGTTGATTTTGCTAAAATTCTATATGGTGAAAATGAAAATGCATTCGCAAAGGGCATCCTAAAAATACATTGAAAGAAAAATGAACATCAATAAACATATACTGAATCTATTAGGAACTGCCCATACTTTCGGTTGGGAACTTAAAGCATACAGAATACAGTAATTATACATGCCACTTTGACCAAGAAGCAACTACAGAAAAGGCGTATACATTCTCCTGAGCTATGTAATATCTTGGAAATACGAGAAGAAAATTTGAAGAATAAAAAAGACTTATTGGTAAAAATGAAAAATAGTATAAGAGCAATAGCCACTGAGAACTTCCTCAACCACCACTTTATTTTTTTATTATTATGAAAAATAATTACCAAATTATTTGTCTGTATGGACAATAAATTCCTTTAAATATAAGGCTTCTAATTCTTGAAGGGCTGCATGAAGGACAGAAAGAATGATGAGTAAAAGAGTTGCTGGGTTTCTGTGATATGATTCTAAGAGGAACTTCAAGTTGACACTCTTTCCCAGAGAAATTATCTTTCTTATTATGCTGACAGTGAAAGGTTCATACATTCGATAACCAACTCTAAGGTCAATAACTTATCTGAAAGCATAGGTTGAGAAGATATAGCGGTAGTTGAGAGTAAATACTACTTCAAGATCCCGAACCTTGGGCATTTGAGTGAGCAGAATTCTTTTCTGAAAACCCATTAGCTATGTAGACTCAAGAATAGTATTTTCACCTCCTATAGTGGTCACTGGTAAATTACCCTCTTCGTATCTTAAATTTTACATCTTTATATGGATGAAACGAACTTTTATCGCTTAACATCCAAATTGTCTTATGTGTACCATGTAAGAATTCTTACATGGACTAAGTCATTTAAGATCGACGACATATGTCATGCAAAAATATGATCAAATCAGCTAAAAATTGGACTGTGAAGCTCAATAAATTAATTATCAGTCGCTATTTTGTATAGAAAGACCTCATATACACAAGACTGTCCAATTTCAGAAAATATTTTAAGTGTTGTTTATTCGGTAAACCATTGTCACTTTATTTAAACAGATTCACATCATAAACTATACAAATTTGTTTTTGTGCTGATAGTGCCATATCATTTCACTTTTATCAGAAGTGAAATGGACATAACTTGTTGGTGGGGAGGAGTGACTCCATGCTTGATATCTACTTTTCTCCTAAACATACATATCTACTTTTCTCCTCAGAGAAGATAGATCTTCAACGTTCTAACAAAAAGTTGTAGTATGAATTTGATGCTGACAATTTGAAAGGCATCTACAAATAAGGCCGGCTGGCCAAATCTCTTTGTTTGTATGTTTAGTTGCATAACTACTACAACTAATCTTGATGAACAGAGAACTGAGCTACGCTTTGGCAAAGATCCTCTAGCACTCGTGGCAAGTACATATCAATTGGTGCATTGCAATTATCTACTTCTTAAATAAGAAATAGATGAATAGTTTGATATCAACCAGCAATTGCAGCAACCATACTGTCTGGTATGAAATAATAATGGAACCAAAATAAATCAGAATATAAAATACATTTGGTAAATCCACAAAAGAACACTTTCAAAAAATCCATGGCCTACCACAACAAAACAGATTAGTCCATAATTTGTTGTTCAGCTAAAAGTCAGCTACCCAACTTCGTCAAAATACCGGGAAGGAAAAATACTATAGACGTGAATCCTAAAATTGGATGGGATTAAAAAAAATTAGAAAAACTTATTATTTACTTTGTTCCAGCCTAGAGTAGAGGCACCTAATTAAAAATCAACAAAAGACAAGGAATACAAAAGACAAACATGAAATAAAAGCGTATGCAAATTAACCATAAACCAGGCTAGATTAACTTTTCGTATTATTTACATTACTGGACAAGTCAGAGCATAAATAAAAATTTTAAGCAACATAAAATCCTAATTTTGTAAAAACAGTAATAAGTAAAAAAGAGAACTAAAAAGAAATCCAATGCACAATCCTAAGCTGATGAAGTTCAAAAAGATCTATGATTGGGCAAGATTTAGTGTAAAATTTGGTGCAAAATGGTGCAAAATTTGGTGCAGCACTGGAGATGGCCTTAATAACTTCATCGCCTTTGTGTTTTTACACTCTGTAGGAACATACGATCAAACAATTATATTTCTTATGCAAGATCCAAGCATATAAATTTATTACATCAGCAATATTTATGCATGCAAAGATGCACGACTCCGAATCAGCATCAAATGAATTAAAATTCCTCAAGAAAAAGAATTTCACACTTCATAGTCTATAATGCCTTGTGCAAGATGGACCGCTGTTAAGCATATCTCAAGATGAACCTTCCGAAATGGGAATTTTCCCCCATGTCGGGGTATCATTCAATAAAATACTGGATTTAAACTAATTTGCTACAAATAAATCAAGAAGAAATAATCAAAAAATTAAAAAAGATTTATGCGGGAAATAAGTTAATTTAATTTGTAAGTTAATTCGAATCAAGAAGACAAGAGACTAATGCAACAAATGATGCTATTCTAGAGATTAGCACCAAAATTAAGAAGAATCAATTTTTTATAAAGAGAAGATTATGCATGGATGATATATATTTTGTGTACAGATTTATATTTTACAATTCAGATCAAATTAATCAAGAAGAATTTCTCAAATAAAAGTATGCATGCAACGTTAATACACTTGGAACCAACATCAAATCAAGCAAAATTACCCAATATCGGTGGCACCCATGGCATCATCGGGCAAGTATTCCATCAAATAGTCGATGTTGAAGCTCGGTTCAATTTCATTTGCATTTCCTTTCCCTTCTGCCATCGGTGTGAAACTTATTCAAGAAATCCTCCCAATATGTTTGAAAAGAATTCAAGAATTGAAGGTGAAAGATGGAAATGAACCCCTAAAAAATACAAAGGCGATTATATCTAGATTAAAAATAAAGAAATTGAAATTGCAAAATGAAAAGCCGAGTGATCTCGGCTTGATTATGTCTTTAATCTATAATATATACACACACTTATATATGTGCATTTATGCAGTTTGTCTGTGAGTTTAGTGCATTAAATCCGAATGTCTATGGGTTTTTGAGTGCGTAATTCCTGTGAGAGAGAGGAGAGGAGAAGGGAAGAGAGAGAGAGAGAGAGAGAGAGAGAGAGAGAGAATTATATATGTGCATTTATGCAGTTTGTCTGTGAGTTTAGTGCATTAAATCCGAATGTCTATGGGTTTTTGAGTGCGTAATTCCTGTGAGAGAGAGAGAGAGAGAGAGAGACGACGACGACGGTTTCGAAGAGGCAATTTTGAGCGTCGGAGACGTTATGTCATGGAATTCTTAACGTTTATAGAATAGAAATGAAAACCTCTCATGCTCTCAGCCACCCCATTCCCTTTTTTCTTCAAATTTTGTTTAGGAATATCAATATTACCAACGAATAATTTTGTTGATTAAACTTTTATCAACGGACAATACATTTATAACTATCATCGAGTCTCGAAATAACAATGTACTTTCGTCGATCATTGTTCGTTGATGAACACCATTAACAACGAATATCGAGGCTTCATAAGGCTAAAGAGAGCCAAAAAATGATCTTTCGTATATAATCTTGCATAATCTCGAATGTTATTAGTTGACGAGAAAAATTCGTCCCCTAGTCAACGATTTTTTCGTAGTGAATTAAGTGCATGTTTGAGAAACATTACAATTATTTAATGGTCAAATTTAAACATCAATTTTAATAACATATCTTGTTGAATCTATAATTATTATCTATTTATCTATGTTAATTTTTTTTTATTTTTAAATTTTAGTAACTTATAATTTTATTCCAACAAGCAATAGTTAATTTAGAATTATTCAAACCAAATTAATTTTGACCTTATAATTTATTTTTGATATATGAAATAATCAGCCTTAGAATATATTTTATTGTCTATTTAACTAATAGTCTAGTGACAGTTTCGCAATTTACAATAAAATCGTTTCACTTAAAGAAATGGATCAAATCATCCTGTGTCTTCATTTTCTCACTCAACCCCAATCTTTTTACATGATTGTTAGCATCCTCTAAATTGGAATATGACAATTAAATCTAACAAAAGGGAAAATATAAATCAGGAAAAAAGAAAAAAAAGGGGACGAATGGATTTTTTCTAGCTAAAACATGAGTTGTCCAAGATGAGATCTGCTATTCAATTTTGCTGTCTAAATGACTGTCCATCCAACAAATCATTGACATGTCATCAATTTGATTGGTTACTGATAAAGTTAATGAAGATAAATTTGAGATGAAATATTAATTATTGATGACATGTCAATAATTTATTAAATGAATAGCCATTCAGACAGCAAATCTCGAACGGAACGATATTCAAGGCGAAAAAAGTGAATTTCACTAGTATTGTAACAATATTTGACTAGTATTTGTGAACAAGCATTTCTATTAAATTACCTGTAATAAAAGTGAATCAGAATTAAGGTATTTCTTCTTTCATATTCATAACTTGAATAAGTTATTAGAATAAAACTTAAACGACAATTTAAAAGGCTTAAAAATAATAAAAATTGTTCTACGAGTATACTATTGGACGACAAAACTAAACGTTAACAGTTACAGAAAAATGTAAAATTTTGCCATTAGCAATAATCGATACCATATACTCATTCATGACATTATGTAATTTAGACGTTAGAGTTTTTGGATGTCACACCATATCATAATGATCGAGCTAGCTAGCTAGCTAGTCAAATTTATTTACTGTTATACATATTTTTATTATTATTATTGACATGAAGTTGAATAGAGATTAGACAAGACATCATCATGTGTAAATTTAATATGTATAGCTTCAAAGCCCCTCGAGACATAGCCTAGTGGTGCAAAGGATAGGAGTGAGATTATCTCACGCCTTGCTGGTAGTCGCAGTGTGAGGGTTCGATTCCTGAGACACGAAAATGGACTTCTTGTAGGCGCAGTGTACAGGCAGCTCTTGTTCCTTGACTTGTTGGGGCACATCCCGTGATTTACCTTCCTCACAAAGTTCTAGGGGCGAGGCGGTGGGGCCCTCAAGATTGATGTTCAACCTTTTTTTTTTTCTTTTTTTTTAAATATGTATAGCTTCAAATGGTGGAAATTTGGTGAAGAATTACTTAATATTGTATCAATTTCATTTATATTCTAAGTCAACCTTAAAATTTGGGAAGTAACGTATGCATGTCTTTTATTTTCTTTGAAAAAGGAAAATCCATAAAAGATTACAGGAATAAGTTATAAAAAAATTATGAAAATTGATATAATAAATAATTTTTTACAGAAATAGAAATTATATTATTTTGATGAATTTATTAATGAACGTTGACCACCTCGAAAACTTAAGCAACTTTTGTCTAATAAATCGGGTTGTGGCGTTAATTAAGAATTCTTTTTCCCTTGATTTTGAGAAAATAGCGTAATTAAAAGTGTAAATATTCTTAAATCGAAACTGCAAGTGAATATAGTTTAAATTCAAACGATATCTATATCTAGACCCCCATATGAACATACATGCCTATGTCTAAAATAAGTCAAACTTATTTTGTCAACTTTCAAACTTACCTTTTATTTTACTAATCAACCTTACTTTTCTAGAAGTTAATTTAATTTTCAGAAAATTAAGTAAATTCAATGCACAACTAGACACCGTTTCACAATAATAATAATAAAGTAGAAACATGTAAGTCAAGAGTTGAGATTTGCTGTCTAAAATTTGCGGTACCAATAAATGATTGACACATCATTTTATATTAAAGTGTCACTTATTTATTTTAAGCATAAGTGGCATTGAGAAAAAGTTAAATATGTTCATTTAAGATGATGTGCCAATCATTCATTGGATGGACAACAAATTTTGGACATCAGAACTAAGTCAATTGTGTAATTCATTGTCTCGTGAATTCATTTTTCTGAGAAGGAATGAAGGGATAGCAAATTAAGCATATGGATTAACTGAGACATGATATAGAAGTTATATATTACGAGGACATGAACTTAAGACAAACCAGACATCAAACATAACACAAATCCTAAACCTAGTTTTTGACGGAACTAAAATCAGTAGTTAACGAACAGAAACTCGAGACATAAATCTAGGCTCTCTTCAATCAAAATGATGAAATTAAAGCCTGAGAGTTAAATCGAGGCCTGAGTCGTCTTCAACACCCTGAGTCTCTCGACCATTCACCTGCACATTGCTGCTTTCTCCCAGAAAGTTCATGTTGGGAACAGGCCAAGAAGTCGAAAAACGAAAGCCTGGAGGGCGATTTTCAAGGCACGAAGAGCCAGGTCGTGCCATAAACTGGGTAACATTTCCAGGCACAGGCCTCGGCAATCCAGGGTAACCTTTGTTAATCCCTGGGAGGGGACGAGGCATCATTCTATGGTGCACGGTCATGTTCATCATTGCCCTGTTGAAAAATGCCTGAGACCTGTTGAACAAAGAACCAGTGAAATTATTACGAGGCAGGTATCCGGAGTTAGCCATCTGCCATTCCTTGATATTTTTTTCAATGGTGCGTTCGAGAGTGTGTGCATTCTGGTGCCCGCCTAAAGCTTGCTTGTTTGAGAACTTCTTGTTACAGTACTTGCAGCCATACTCATGCTCCTCTTCCTCATCCACAGGTGGAGGCGGATGTGGATTCTTCGATGACCCTGGCAGCCTTGGAGGAAAACTTGCCGTAACGGAATCTAACAAGATCGACTGGCGATTATTCCCCCCTTCGTTGGATTGGCTCTGATCAAGGATTTCTTTGGAAGTTAAAGCCTCTTCTTGAACTTCATTGCGAGGAGACTCTTCCGACATGTCTGTGCTAGTAACACTGGCACTGGAAGAACAGTTATTGAAGCCAAGTAATTGGTTCTGAAGAGCCATTGAGAGCTGGATTATATAGGGAAGAATTGGATTGCAAATTTTGTTGCAGAAATGAAAAATCAGATTGCCTTCGGCTAAGATGGTAAGAAACTAATCGAACGTAATCAAATTTTCCTAATAAAATCTGACTACAATTAATCTTATGCTTTTTTCTTAATTCCCTTCTTTACTTTAGGTTGAATCCCCAAGAAAGTTGAATTATTAGTTGCAGATTGCCAATGACTTTGAGGAATTCTGCATTCAAGTTTATTAAATCCAAAACAAAACTCATAAATATTTTTTTTCAAAGTTATGTTGTAATAAATGACATCTGTTACATGTGGTAAATGGCAATATCTCAATTGTAGATATTTCAAATTTCCTTCAATTAAAAGAATAGTCACTGTAATTCCAAGTTGATTAAGTGTAACATTTATAGTTTTCTTTTTTCTTTTTCTTTTGACTGCTGCAACATTTACAGTTTAAATGAATATTATTTGAAAGGGAGACCAAGCCAGAGATTAAGATTATAACTTGATGCATACATCAATACATATTATTTTTGAAGGTTTATTTCAATAAAGTGTGCACTTCAAAACAAACTCTATAGTCTATATCCATAAGATATTTGTATCTTTCTGTCTCGATGTATGAAAGGTTTAAACACCGTTTGGTAACAATTTTTCACCCCCAAAAATTAATTTTTTTACTGTAATTTCACAATTTCAGCTGTATTGGACTTCTTCACTCATAGGTAGGATCCACTTTTCTCTTTAACGATAAAAAAATCAATTCTCATAATCACTGCCGATTAAGCCAATGTATACTTCACTAATTTTTTTTTATGGCTTTTTGAATATGCAAATATATGTGTTTAAAATAAACATTATGTGCATGTACTTTTAAATGAACTCCAGATATACGTATAAATATATGTATCTTTTTTATGAATATGGATACATGCAATTAGCTTATATTTAAAGGATATAAGAATTAATGACTAGCACGATGCACAAGATGTCTCTTATCTGGATCATCAATGCATGTTTATTATTTTTTTTATAAATTAGCAATTTTATTACATTGGAATGTCTCACATTTGCTCTATTATTATTTTTTAGGGGATTGCTCTATCATTATTGGTAAGTTTAAAAATTATATTTTTACTTATAAATGAAATAAAAAAGGTTATTTATTTTGATAGCAAGGGATATGTCATTGTCAAAATAAGTAACTTAAGTTTACTACAATAAAATATTTAATCGATTCATAGTTTAGTATAATTGTATTAATTATCTTGACCCTAACACTCTAAAATTATATTAAAAAACTATTCATATATTTAAACTTTGTAACCTGTTAATAAAATAATTATAGTCTCAAGTGGGAATTGAGACTATCTAAATTGTACAATATTTACATTGATTTTCAGTGGATCAGTGCAATATTTATAGTTCAATAAGAATTAGTGTACCAACCTTGATAAATATTTTATTTTGTATTTTAATGTTATTTCAATATGCATGTATTTTAAAACGAATCCTAACTTTACGTATGGTTATGTGCAATTTTTTTTTTACGTGATGTATACATCAGCTGTAATACTTGTTTTAAACAACTTTTCAAGGCATGGATATGTATACTTTGAAAGGAAATTGTATTTTCAATATTAAGATGAACATATACCATAAAACGAATTCCAGGTATCTGTACAAATATTTGTTCCCCTTTGTACATAGGGATATACTAACTTCTTATTTATCTTACATTGAAAGAATATAAAATTAATGACTAAAATTTGATGTCCTGAAATCTCTAAATTAAATTATTAATGAACCATTATACTATGTAATAATACCTCGTATTTGTAGCCCCTCATGGAGTGGACGAGTTGGTGAAATAGGTGAGCGCGGAGACCTTGGATCACGAGTTCGATTCCCCTACCAATACTTTCTCGATCAAGCATGTCGCAAAGGACTTGCCTAGTATGATTGCAAGCTATTGTCAGCCTGAGAGTTTACCCAGTTCGTACCCGAAGGGTAGCGGCTGCGGGTTTCTCTGTTATAGAAAAAAAACTTCGTATTTCTATTTGCAAATACCAGAAAAAAAAAAAAAAAAAGGAAGAACTGTTACTATGATTAAGCTACTAATTATAAATTAGCTTTCCTTCATCATTATCGGAAATCCAAAAGTTATATTTTCACTTGGAAAATTAGAAATTTTTTTTTATTTCAACAGTAACTGAAATTTGTTGTCATTGTCAAAATAAATAAGTTAAACTTAATTCGGTTAATAATTTAATACTATTACCGAAATACATCTGAATCCTTATATTCTAAAATTATATTAATAACTAATCACAATAAGATGCACATGTGCTTCAAAACGAATTCTATCTCCGTAAAAATGCTTAAATATCACGTTATATGGACAATTTTTAAGATGGAAAAACAAATGACAACACAATATTGTATCTTAATTATCCATACCTGTAAGAATTAATCTCTCTTGTATCCATAAAATTAATGAACAATCGTCTAATATTAAATGTATTGTCCTTTTAACTACAAGGACAAAAATAAATAAATAAATAAATAATAATAATAATAATAATAATAATAATAATAATAATAATAATAATAATAATAATAATAAAACTTGTTAGTCTAAGCTACTTAAAGTAGATTTGCTCTATCTTAAGGTGATTGATTATACTCACACTACGAATTTTGTCAATTACACTACATATTAAGATGTTTTTATTATTTAATAAAACGACATTTACACAATACATTTACGTAACCCCCAAATTAAAATACCAACCAAATCATTGTTTTACACAAACACATATGAATCATGCTACACGTACAACCCACTTTGTTACAGTGTGCTAACATGGCATTATTTTGGAAAAGTCAAAATCTTGCAGACAATTTAAAAAAAAAAAAAAAAGATTTAATCTTGTAGAATAGTATGGGTGATATCTAACACATTAACATTTTGGATTGAACGTCACTACAAGAAATATCACTTTCAATAATCATATAAATAGTCGTGTAATATACATTTTTGATTGTTGATCACAAATTAGTTGCTCATTCCTTGGTTGGCAAAGAAGTGTTGGCGAATATATTCAATGACTAAAAACTTGTGTTGTCGTTAAGTGCATTATTTTAGCAATTAAGTAATAGATCGTAAAAGATTTTGCTAAGCTCTAATATCAAATTGTTGAATTTAAATTCCATAATTTTATTTTATTGATATAAAATCACTTATATAACTCAAGAACACACACCACTTAATTAAAATATTACTCACTCAAGAGAGTGCTCAATTATCTCTCACACACCACATACTCTCACCTACTCTCAAATCTCTCTCACATGTATTCTGTTCCTCTCTTTCTTACTACAATTTTTCACACACACAACATACACATCACTTAAATATATTTCTAGTCTCTCTCTCTCTTTTTCTCACTTCTCGCTCGCATGTATATTATCACTCATCAGCCCATATTTATAGGTGATATGGTCGGTTGCAATTCCTTCTAGTTTCTTCGAGTTTGGTGGTGAAGAGAGAATTTTTAATATTATTAGATTGCTGAAGAAATGGAAAGAAGTTTCTTGAACTTTTTATACAAGGCGGTGCATATTCTTCAATTTCTTCTCTTTAGTACCAACTTTTCATTTTGACTCTTTTTTTTGTCATCTAGCTGTGCTTCGACGAATTTTAAAGTACTTGGTTCTTCATTCAGCATATTTGCCACTTTAAATATATTTGTTGGAAATCTATTTATCATGCGCAGCGGAAAATTAAAAAAAAAAAATTCAACTCCAACCAAGAATCATCTTTGTGTTTAAGTAGCAATTGTGATAAAGATTATACCTTTTACAAGATATACAAACTCCTTTGCTATTCTTTCGTTCCATCGATCTTGATTCGTCATCCGTAATTGTCCAATTGTCCAGCATCCAACGGTGATTCACACAGAGAACAAGATTGTAGGATTATGATTTTCTTCTTGTGCTAACAATAATAATGAATTCTTTACATATTTTGAAAATCCTAATCATATTTATATAAACCCAAATATGCTTGGCCTGACCCGATCCAATATTTAATTAACCCATTTAATTAAATCTAGTTCGTGAATTAATTAATCTAATTAATTAATCCAAGCCTATAAATAAGCAATCCAATCAATTAATTTATCCAACGCTTGTTAAATTAATTAATTAACAAATCACAATCTTCCAGTTCTCCTTTTGTGTGTGACCCATTAGATTCCGATCATGATACTTAACAACGTAAAATATTATTTTGATCTAATTAAAATTGATAAATTAAAACACTCTTTTAATTTATCACAAATTCACACTCGTCATACCAGATTGATATTTAGCAATGTGTTAGGGCAATACATGTGACTAGAAATGTCACGTGGTATGATAAAATCAAACTCGTTCGTTTACCTTAAAACTATAATCCCTTCGTCAATATGATCCGATCAATTATGAGATATGGAAGTGTGTCAATCTCGATTATCGATCATATCTTTCACTCCACTATTAAGTCAATATAAGTCGAAAACTCCTTTTTGATTTATGAGTACACCTTGGCCAATGATTTTGTTATCGACTTAATTGAATGAAATGCAGATCATAATCTCTTACTATCTAAGAATGACGAATCTTCTATTGGTCATTCACAATTTTCATACGATTCTTGACATACCAGAACGATGTCATATTAGCGGCCTTTGGCAGAGCAACTTCCAACATCGTCAAAGCATGACTGTCCTCATATAAGATATTATGACGAGCTCAAGTCGAAGGACCAATCCCACTACTGAACGTTAGAAATTAACCATTGACACTCAGATAGTTATCCATATTGAATCTCTAGACGGGTCTCTAATGTTTTATTCTATAACAAAACATCCACGTGTTTATTCAAGTGTCACCACACTTTAGTTTGTGAGATCATCTACTTATTTCACAAGTAAGAAATGCCACACG